AAGACTGGAATGGCAGGGACACGGACAGGAAGAGACAAAGGGAAGAGCTAGGGATGGGGAATAAGGAATAGCCCCGAGTGCAGCGTTGGTTGGGCGCGACACTCAGCCGGGCACGCGAGAACGCAATTACGGAGCGCAATCTCGGAATGTCACACCGCCGAGGCCGACTAACCGTTTCTCGCGGCCGCGGCACGAGACGGCGTCTTCAACTTTTCTTTTGCAGATTGCGTGGTTAGATTTATGCTTCGGGCCGCACGTCGCGGGGGCTTATCTCCTGAGCAACGGGCCAGCGGAGTTTTGTCTCACTGTCCTTCTCTCTTCCTATCCGCGCATATTCCGAGAATAACGTCTATCCAGTGAAGGATTGTTTGCTTCGGAGGTTCGAGAGGGAAAGCGTGTCAAGAGTCACTTCGGTCTCCGGTTTTACTTTTCTTTTAAAAATCATGAATAATAAATAACGGTTACGTTTCGCATGCTTTTAACGCATCTATCACTTCTGCAGAAAATCTAGCTTGCCTGCGTCAGGAGAGGAAGTAATATTTGACCCGAAAAGAATAATTTCAAGAACTGCGTCGGAAGTGTGAAATGTCTTTCATTACCCTTTACTTTTTCAGTATGACAGACATTTTGAAATCATAGCCTTATTGAATTTACAAATTTCTAAAAGTACGGACTATGCATATCCACTAATTTCGAATCAGAAATAATTCAGTTCTCAGAAACACTTAGCCCCGATTCAAGCCGTCGCAAGAGCATGAAATGACAGCCACGGCAACTCGCCATCCGTCACGAGGCTGAGAGAAAAATGACAGTGCCGGAAGAGCCGCGGCGGGAGTGCCGCACACCTCCGTGACGCGGCCGCGGCGCCACGCGGGCACTGATCCTTGCTTATCGATTGCTTTTGGTCTTGGAGGGACCTGCGGGCTCCGGGGGCGCTACGCAATTTCGGCCTTCCTGTGGCGGAATGGCTTCAGAGGGCAGTCTGGGGTTCTGTTGAGAGAGTGGCGTTTTCCGTCGTAATCAGTGGTTCTGCTTGGACAAGATGAACAGATTTACGTTTTAGGGGTTATCATAGTCGCTTATTGTAATCTAGCTATTTCAACATTTACTTCATTGAAATACCACCATCCGTTTGAGGGGTAAATAAGGCTCGAGCGGTGTATCAGTAAGACAGATGATCGCCACTGCCACCAGATACGTTCTAATTAAGAAACGTAACACAATTTTCCCTTGCAAGGTTAGCCCAGCGAGGCAGCCAAGGCCGATAAAGAATAACCCACAAACCCCGAATTAACGTGGGGATCGTTTCTGCGGGAACCTCATTGTCTGGACGATCACATAACTACATCCAGAATCTCGACAACAATTGTGTGGGATCAACGGTGGTCCCGAGTCTGTCATTTTCTCTGGCGTCGACAATAACTCAATTCGGGAAGGGGTCCGAGTTCTCGGTAATGGCGGCCAATCAGCGCGCCCGCTCGGCCGCCCGCTGACCGCGGTGGGAGATGCACTGACATGATAAAATGTAATTTCATATAACGTATGATAATATAATCTGAAATATATCATATCCGGATATGTGATATACCGTAATATGATATAATATAACATGTTATTTTGTAGCATTGTACTAGGACGATATAACACAATATAACAAAATTATGACGTATATTTATGAGCATCTATTGTTTGTTATCTATATTCTAAAAGCAAATTTCACAAGCAGCGCTCTGAAATATGTGAAAAATTCTATAGAAAAAAAAGTAAAAATTAACCTAGATGTCTTGCCAAAGACAATAACTACATAAACAAATGAATAAGTGACCATACATCAAATACAACTTCGAATAAACCAAATTCTTGAGCACAGGATTATCTGCATAAGACCCCGAGATAAAAATTAATCCGAGCATAAACAAACAAAGCCAGCCTATTAAACCGCAGAGGGCGAGCGCGGCCGCCGTTGACCTAAGCTTAATAAGGTCACATAGAGGGACTGTGATGCAGGCTTGCCCCGCCCACCTCACAGCCTCGCCCGCATCAGGTCAACCCGTCACCTGACCCTGCCCGGAGGTGGGGCGCAAGACACCTGTGACTCTTCGCTGGTCTTCAGTGCAAGACCCACCTGGAAGAGCAGCCGTGTTTCTATAGTTGCCTCCAATAAAGGAAAAGGGTCAGGGAATAGTAATCACCCCATCATGGTTCTATATTTGGTACGGATGGTAATGATGAAGCGATAATACATCTGTACTTGTAGCAGAAAGGGAATCTGAAAATTATTTCCCTAAATCTTAATATCTGTTTCTTATGTTTAACTAAATGTCAATGACCTTCCGTACTGAGAATCGGGTCCCGAGTATTATCAAACTGAAGGTTACATGAATAACAAAAAACAACCACAACAACAACAATAATAATGAAGATGATGATGATAACAATATTAATGTAATAGTAATAACAATAATAATAATAATAATAATAATAATAATAATGATAATAA